TGAACATAACTGGCGACATATTTCGATATCGGTTTCTTTGCAACATAGGCCATAAGAGACAGATGATTGCTTCAATAATCGTGGGGTGATATTAATCCACTGGGCGGAAGGAAACAATCCTGGAAAAATGACATTGCTCTTTTCACAGTATACATGCACAGACGGTACATTGCTTTGAAAGACTCTTTGATTAGGTTCAGTTTATACAGTCTCGCATCCCTCCCGTTAACAACAGATGAGTGATCAGGCGCCAAATTTCACGAAATGTCGTTCAATAAGGCTGCAATTTGTGAATCTAGCGGTGTATGTGTTTGAAGGACAGAAAAAAAGTGCTCACTAGCAGAAAGATATGCACGCGCGCATGCATGCGCATCATTAAGGACACACTTTACAAAACATATAGATTGGTAACCGGTGAAGTTCGTTCGACCATGTCGCCGGACCGGATCGATCGGAATAGCAGCGCGAAGATGCGCTTGTTTCGGAGGTCGATGTGAGTGGAGTGACACTGAACGGTGAACAATGCATGAAACCAACCGCTCGTTGGTGAACGAAAAATTTCGTGCAGCAATTTGACCAGTATCACCATGAAAGACATTAAAGGAATGACCTAACAAGTGTGAGAAATAATGGGTTTTACCGGAAGCACACGTCGGAGATAGAATGAAGAAAAAAGACAAAACTAGGAAGCTTTGGGAAAATGTGACAACTGCAATCAGTTTGCATTCCGATCTCGCGCGTTCGTAGAATCTGGCATGGAAAAAGTTTCTGACTACGTGATTGACAAAACGATGACCTGATTATAAAGAACAGGGATATACCGGTGACAAAATTTCAGCAATCCGGAGCGGGAGCATTGTAGTGCACAAAGTCCCTCCTGAGTGCTCAAACACCATTTGGGCAGGTAGGCGTTTAAGCTGTCCTGGCCCACTCTACTCACACCTCGATGATCGCAGGAGTGAACAAAGAACTTCATGTTCATCGTGAATCTGACTTACGGTTTCATGATGAAGTCAATCCCAGAACTCTGAGATGTGTGTGTGTCATGACAATTTTATTCTTACTTTGAAATACTTATTGTGATGTACCTAATGGCATGAATAGGAAAATGAGCCAGTTCACTACTGCGTATCTAAAATGTGTTCCGTGGGGCTATTCAAACAGCTAGGCTGCTAGTAGTTTGTACCGCATTGTGGATCATTATGAGTATACGGAGTGCCCAGTCTAGCCTTCAATGAGCTTCATTTTTAATAAAAAAAATATGACTTAGTTCACTTTACCCCGAGTCTTGTCCCTCTAGAAAGCTTTAGAGTCAATCATCGCAAATAACTCTGCAGTCAGTGGGAACGCCTCGAATCTCTTTATGTCCATCAATACAGATTCCACCGTCTCAAGTTCACTGGTGACATGGTAACTCACAAGTCACATACTTGGTTCTTCGCGTTCAGTACGCAAGGTTCCTGACGAAACTTTTCGAGTCTAAACTCTCCTTTGTGTTTCATCACTAGCATGGGAAACTACCTCAAAGACTGGTTAACTTCGATGCGTGTACACAGAATCACTCTGAGGACAATCCCGGTGAATCATGGCGTTTCACAAGGTTTCATTCTTTCTCGGTCTACGGTGATCACAGCGAGCACCCACATTATCTCTCGATAAATCTATCGACAGTGGTTATGGTTTTTATACGATGTTGTATCCGAGAAACGAGATATAAATAATCCCATACAGAGAAGCAGATAGAAGAGGGGTCTCCCGTCAAACAGGATGAAATCCCACTGATTTTACATTCGACTGGCTCGAGGGATTTACCGGCTAACAGGTGCAAAGATGTACGAGTCAACATTTTTTACATACCTGACAATTCGAAATTATTTGCATCTAGGAGGTCGTGTCAAAAACATTTAACCTGGCATAATTGGATGCTCGGTGAACTTCACGCTCCTCCTTAAAGAAGAATTCTAATAGAAGAACTGACGTATGATCCCTGTTCACGTGGAAACGTCCATAGAGAATAACTCAAGATAATGCAAGCACATAGTTGCATGCCAAAAACAGTACACCGCACGTAAAGATCACATTTGGAAAAAGTGGTTGGTTGGGACTTGTGCTGCGTATCTCACCAAATAGATTGCCACAGTACGTACCGTTTTCCGAGGTATTTGGTGCGTGGAAAAGGTAAAGGATGGTATACAGGTATGAAAACCCCGACGAAGGGACTTGTTCACATAGTCCGCGATAGCCTTCCTGTATTGGGGACCTCGGGATCATTGTGATCACTGGTTAGATGATACGACCGAGTGCCCTAAACAGCGATGCGCATTCATCTACTTAATGTGTTTGCAACCTGAGTCTTCTTGAATTCTCCATTTTTACTCTGGCACTGATTGGCACAGTCCAATCTTCCTTTAGTTCTTCATCCCAATGGGCAGTCATGAAACACCAACCAAAAACGGCGCACGAAATTACATGGTTAATGCTTGTAGAAACTGAACTGAACTGAATATCTTCTATAGTATCTACGATGTGGAACGAATAATCTGTACGTGGAAAGACAAAAATATAGAAGCCGGATAATTTGGAAACGTTTTATTGAAAAGAGTGGAATCAGGGTCGGTTCAATGCGTCAAACAAGGAGAGCAAGGGTTTTATTCTTGGATGCCTAACATTTCCCTTAATAGATCAGTACGCCATGCATTGAAGGGGACATCAATCAGTTCGCAATTAAGCTATGTGAACAATCCGCATGCCTTATGACAGACACCACGAGATCGGGGTAGGTCCGAACACATTAACATACGCTTATTGAGCACACCTAAAACGGATTATCCTCTAAGAACGATCAGTCAGTTTCATTTAGACAACTAATGATCGTTTTATGTTATGTTCCGGTTTTATTTGCTGATTTCCGGCTGCCCGTTTGATAGAACACTAATAGAAGAGCAAAAGGGAGGAATTAAAAGCGGGGAGTTGTACCCAGAAAAAGGTACACAGTGCTAGTAAACCAAACGTGCATAGAGAATAATAATATCCATGACTACCACTATTTACGAAATTCATCTGCATAAAATAGTGCCTCCAACCAACCAAGATTAGCAACGCGGCTTAGGTAACGGAATTCCTGATCACGATTTTAACAACTTTATATATATATATATACATTGTGAAAGCGAGCGCTGCGTGACAGTATTTATTGTGACGTTTCAATTTAGACTGGAACTCGTTGTTAAAGGACAATGTGTGTGAATGGATTGTCTGCTTGTGCCTCACGCTGTGGTTTGCGTCGCACTTGTTTGTCCATCAATTCCGCGTCACACATTGGTTGTACAATCGTTGCATAATGTTTATCGGCTTCCACGTGTCGATTGAATGAGTTGGTCGAAAGCAGCCCTTCTAGGATCAGACGTTCACCTTTACACTTTGCCCTTGCCGCTACTTTTGCACCATTGGTTTGGTACTCGTGACTTATCGTAGGGTAGTGGTTCCAGAGATGTGACTTCGGGTCATCACATCGTAGTGCATGTGTACGTGTACGCGAACGCGAACGCACAGTTGTTTGCCTGAGACACCTAAGTAACGTTGGTCATAGTCTAGGCATGGAATTGCGTACACTACCAGTGATCGGCCATGTGGTGCTACGTGGTGCTTACCGTTGAACAAAATTGATCGCAGTGTTGTTGTAGGTTGTGGGCAACGATAACGCCCAGAGGGCGAAAGCCGCGATCGTCGGCTTCTAATACCCCACGTATGTATGGTAGTAAAAGTTTCGTTTTCTTTTTCCCCCTAAGACATGATTCGATGAAAATTTTGGGGTATCCGTTTGTACGGAATTGATGGAGCAGATGCATTCGTTCTTGATGCCGGAAATCTTCTGTGCTTCAATGTGTCCGGACGGGAGAACAAAGCGTACACAGCTTCTTAGGTGACACGTATGATTGCTATCGTAGTTCATCACCTGATCGGTTGTTGTCGGTTTTCCGTACACAGTGATTTCGTCTGGTTTTCGTATGACGAGGACGTTAATGAAAGGGAGCTCTATATCGTTTTCCTCCTCGAGAGGATATGCTATCCTTGGTCAGATCATCATGGAATTGTTCGATTCTTTCTGCCGGTAGCATTACAAATATGTCGTCCACATATCGGATCCAGAGACGCGGGGGGTATTCTACAAATGCATTGGCTTCAAATTGTTTCATCATCGCATCAGCTAGTAGGCCAGAGATTAGTGATCCCATTGGTGTGCCTTTGGCCTGTCGATATATCCTCTTGTTTGTATGTTTCCAAGCAGCGTTCAAGCGGCTCCATGATGTCAGCCACTAACAGCGGTGTTCTTTCTGGAAGACGAGGATCATATTTTATCAGATTCTGTATGCTCTCCAGAGCAAGTTGTGTCGATACGTTTGTAAACAGAGATGTGATATTGAAGGACACTATTTTTTTCTTTTCGTTTCAGCTCTAATTCTCCTGTCCGGTCTAGGAATGCAAAGCGAGTTTTTTATGCCATTCTCTTCAGGAATAGATGGGAGTATTAAATGGTAGGTGGTATTTGGGAGCCTTTGTCGAAGGAACGATTGGATGCAGTGTTGCGCTGGTTTTATTCACCTTTGGAAGTTCGTAGATCCGCGGGAGGGAACCCTCCGTAGGTTCCATATCCTTGTATGGTTTTTCACTGAGTTGGTTATTTCTTGAGTTGTGTGAGCTTTTTAGTCAACCTGTTACGTAGATTTCTATAGGATTTCCTATAACTGACTGATATCTATACGTATGACTGCGAATCACCACAGACTAGCTTCCTCGTCAAACTGAAGTTTGGACTCACGATCAAAAGTATTCGGATAACTTAATAGAGAGCTGTTCCATGAACACCATCCCTCTTAGATGCCCAGTTAGTATGTGAGTTAGTTTTACGCTTTTCATACGAACTTTCAATTCAGCAATTATCAAATGGAACATTTCACATTCATATTAAAAACCTGAAGAGAATGGCACTGTCAGCTTACTCGTTCTACATCGCCCAGGTCAGCTTCCATCTCTTGACGTTCGGGTAGTAACAATAAACGACACCGATTGTTGGGCTGGGTTGACAACAGTGTGGCCGCCTTATACCCGTCGGGAACGTTCAACCAGACTGGAATATTGACGTCCGTTTCGCTGATAGAAGAACTATCTCCGTTCACGTCGGTGGACGTGTGAATACCATTTAGAGAGGATACACAAACAGATGGCATTTTGACCGGACTGGACGAACTATCTGGCAAATGTGACGCTTTGTCGCTCAGTTCCAGCGAGACCTGTTTGAGGGAAAAAAGATGCACGGTGACCGGTTGTACAGATGAGAGCACGGGGCCGTAGCGAAGATACATTTAATTACTGAAATCACAATCCAATGGGAAATTGTGATTGTTTACAGATATCAGGTCGATGATGAGCAGCTAGGAATGACCCCAAAAATAATAAGATAGTCATGAAATATGCAGGATAAAAGGCATACCTG